CTCCTCCCATTGTCACAGAGTAGAAACACAGAAACACACGCGGTGTTCAGCCTCTTTCCTCTGGCTGGCTCACGTGCAGTTAAATTCGGGATCCCAAAGATTAACTGTATTGAATTTGTACTGTATTGATTGTATTGTTTTGTCATATTACCATTAAAGTAGATATTGTTTACTTGGTGGCACTGGATTTCTTCCTGTATTATAACCAGCTTCATAGGAACGCGCGGAGATTTGAAAAGCGGATCAGATATCCCTTTTAATCTCTAACAAAGTGGTGACCCCGACGTCTAGATATAACGAAGCTGAGGAAGAATCCAGACGACCGGAATGGGTCGAGAACAAACGCTTTCAAACTTCTCAGACAATCAGCAGGGCCCTGCACAACTCTACACAAAGGTACAGACGCCTGTTATGAAATTCGACTGTCTGAAATTGGATACACTAAAACTTTAGGATTGTCTGTAGGTGTTTCACAGTGTTTTTAAAGTTTAAATGGAATATACAATGCATATTTTACTATGTTAGGAAAGTTATATACAAAACGCAAACGTTGATCGACAGGTAGACCAAAAGTCCTGCGTAACGAAAATAGAGCAGTTTGGCGTGGATCTGCAGGTAGATTATTCCTGAGTGGCGTGGAGACGGGGCAGTTTGTGGGTGCGAGGTTTGATTTCCTGCACGACAAAACCTGGAAACTCAATATATCAGATCGGGTCGCCGTCTAAAACTGGGGTAAATAACAGACTAAGGCTGAAAGCTAAAAGCCAGAGTTCTGTTATATACCAATCGAGGGAGAGAACGCGAACCTCAACAAAAATTGTGACGGGACCGTCTCTCGTTTTCCCTTTGTCTGTAAACTTAATTTGAAAAGCTAAACGTGTGATAAAGGACTTTTCACGACCTGGGAGTTCCCCATGGAATGGTCACATTCTTTAAGAGTGTCGAAGCATCATTCGGGTCCACTAGCCTGTTGAAATAAACATCACATTATAAAAGCTGGACAAACTGTACGGGGAATAAATCTGTGTGATTTTTCAATTGTCTCCGGGGATAAAAGAGGCACTCAGAAGAGTGAAGCTCATTTGTGGTCTGCTGCTGCCATCTAGTGGCTGAAAGGGGGTAACACACCCTTGACATTTGTATATATTTTAGCTTCAAACTTAGAGTTTCATCATTACATTGCTGGCCGGTATTGAAGACGGGAAGCACGTTAATAATAACAACGACAATAGCCCAGTATATGAATACAAGTGAACACATATTAATTAAGTCAGATAAATAAAAGCGAAGTGAATATGGAACGACAGAATGGTAAGGACTATTCTGAAATTCCAGGGAGTTACAGGGAGCAATGGGAACAGATTAAGAGATTGATTTTAAGTGGAATCAAACAGGGGGCTAAAGAAAAGGCTTGTACGGATCTCCGATTCCTACACGATACAATGATAACAGAGAATAGAGTGGGGGATGACGACACCGTAGGTAATTTGGGCACAGCATTGAATTTATATGAAAGAAAGATTGTAAAGCAACTTGCACACCTAAACAAACAGAACCCCAGATGGTTTGCCCGTAGCAAATGGAACAAACAACAACAGGCACTAGATAGATTGAGGAGGGTTTGTCACAATGCTGCCCTCGCAATGATTGGAATTAATATTCCTCCCGTCACAGACCAAAATCTCCCGGGTGCAATGGCAATCCAAAGCCCCATAAAAACAGATGAAGTTAAGACTCTTCTGTTCCCTCATGGTATTAAAGACACGGAGGTGCCTACACATGGAGACATTCTTGACTATGTAGCAGAACGAGTCGAATATTTTAAAAGAATGCAAAATAATGTTGTCTCTAACTCAGAGCAGAAATCTCTAACTACGCCCATACAAAATCCGGCTATTCCCACCCGCTCCTCTCTCCTTTACCCGGATTTAGGTAGTCTGACTACACAGCCCCCTCCCCCTTATACTCTACCCGACGACAGCGCAAATAAATTGCAAATGATTGTGGCAGATATATCGGACACAGAAGGAGAGGAGGCGGCCATGAGCGTAGGGAACTATAGGATGGTGGGAACAGTAGCGTTGAGTCCGTTAAGGGGCGTCCCTACTCCAAAGAAAAGACTAAATGTTAAACAAAAACAGGTTTCCTCCCCGTTAGACAGACTAGACAGCGCACACACCACGCGGAGGCCTAGTTTTAACACAGACCAGGAGGGGGTTTCCCCGAGCAGGGACAGTCGACCACTTGATAAGGAGCTCACCTCAGAAAAATTTACTTCCCTTCTGACAAATCTTACAAAGAGCCACTCAGGCGCTACACAGCCAGACATAACATACACAACTGACCTCCTGGATGAGAGGGAAATGCGAGAAAGGCGGTGCTATGAACAACAGATTCAAGATAGACGCAAGGAGGAAGACAGGAGACAGGAACAAAGCGGATATGAGGGCTCGCTAGAAGATATAGAGAAGGGGGAGGGATGTGATCCTTTTCAGAACAGATCACGCCAAACGTATACGCCTTATTACCCAGGTGTTGAGGGGGGGGGCATCGGGCCATGAAAGTGGGGAAGAGACGGCGAACCACAGAAGTGATAGAAAGATAGCGGGCCATAAAAGGGATAGGGAAACAGCAAGCCATGAAACTGGGGGGTTTTACAATGGAGCAGGAGGCCAGGGTCGTAAAGACAGCTCTCAGGAAGAGGAAGACAGCAGGAGGGTGAGGTGCAAAGTTAAGCAGATATCTCTGACGGGAACAATAGGTGAACTAGTGGAGGTAGATCAGGTTCTTTCAATGCCCCGTAACAGATTAAGGTCTCACCACACCGCAGAAGACCCCACCAAGCATGCTTTTATTTCTCCAGTATTACAGGCGCCTTTAGTGGCCGCGCAAAACGGGAAGATGGCTTATCATCCTTTCACACTAGGGGACATACATGCGCTGATCGATAAAATGCCGTTGCCTACTGAGGGAGGGAGACATTGGATGCGAAGGTTTGCGGACATGGCTGTAGGACAGACTATCTGTCTGGGAGATTTCAGGAGAATACTAGCACAACAGACTTCCTATTATGAGGTAGAAAGAGTTGAGGATAGATCAGGAACATCGACAATGAAAGATGACGTGCCTATTTCCTTTAACGATGTTCACAGCAAGCTGGGCAAAGCAATGAGAGAGCATTTCCCACAGACAGGGGGAGGTTACGGATCACTGTCATTTACATTTACACCTGGAGAGGCTGCAGCAACCATGTTGCTCAGGGCACGCCAACAATACACAATGGCAACTGACTACAGTCCAGATAATAATGACCAACATATACAGATGTTCCGTAAAGCAATGCTTGCAGCAGTGCCGAAAGAAATTAAAAGTCTGATGGAGGACAATCCAGAGGTAGATCAGTTAAACACACAGACGTGGGAACGTCATTTAGCCCATCATTTGAGTAAATTCAACAAACAACATACAGAGGTTAAAACTGAGGAAGAGGGGTTGAGGGTGCAGTTACTGCGAACGCAGCTGGAAATAGCCCGGAAAACAGTTCAGAATGACAAAAAGAATGCCAAACAGTTGATTGTTCACCCAGTAGCGCCGGCCGCGCAGCCACAGGGGCAGCAAAACCCAAAAGGGGGCCTTTCCAACCAGGGTCCGCCCTATAGTCAGCCCCAATTTGGCTACAATAATAGCTCTTGGTAACAGAGGGGCGGGTTCAGAGGAGGGGTCAGAGGTCGAGGTGGCTTTGGGATGACTCCTAGATTGGAATACGTGAAGGTGTGTTTCATTTGCGGACAGCCAGATCACTGGTTCAAGCAGTGCCCACATGGAGCCCCACCTGGAAGGGGGCGGGCTAAAGGGGGGAACGGATCGGAGAGACCATATATCCAGACACCCCAGGAGGCTGTCCCATTGCCGCAACAACCGAACCAGGGTCACATTGCCCCTAATGCTATGGCCGCCCCCTATGGCCAGTTTGTCCTGTATGAGGGGGAATACTACGAAGAATGAAGACGCCCAGGGAACCCTGGATGTACGGGCCTGGCGGATCCATACATTAATATGACTGTTAAAGACTCAAACCTACCATTCCTTGTTGATTCAGGAGCAAGATATTCCACCATCAATTCTCCCGTCTTCAAGGCGTCCAAAACATCTACAACAGTCTCAGTCATAGGGTTTTCGGGAAAAATAGAGAAAATACCGCTTTCCACGCTGTTATCCACCAAGATAGCAGGACAGACATTCTTACACCAGTATATTCTTGCACCAAAAAGCCCGGCTAACCTCATGGGTAGGGATATTCTGATCAAAGCGAATGCCTCCATCCTCTGTTCCCCGGATGGACTGATAATATCATTCCCAAATGGCACAACCATCAATTGTTCGTTATCTACCATAAAATCAGGTTCTCAGATGATGTTGGCCCAGTCCACTGAGGCAGAAGCAACCCAACATGCCACTATATTCTGGGACTGTTGGACCGACCTCGGGACAACACACCTGGACTGTATTCCATTTTTCAACAATGGAAGCCATGGATTAACCTCCTCAGGCCTTATGGCCCCCCTCCAGACCCCCCCCACCTGACGCTGAATTATGATAGAAGAGACGACCTAAGTTATGAATATGAGTATGATAATGAGGTGTCTATGGCCGTGTGGGACGTTACCACGACAAATCTCTTTGTGGGACAGGCGGGTGTGGCTGCGTCGGTTGAGCTCTCTGATGAACAACTGTACTGGTACCGTTTGTCTGCTGAGTCCACACCACACATTACATTAGCTATCAGAAAGGGTTATGAAGCTAAAGAACTTGGTCCCATGGTAAAGACGCTGCTAGAAGTCGAAGATTGGGAACCTACGCAGATCGCAGCACTGACATACTCTCCCTCACACAGAGCGTATCGTCTTAAAATCTACACACAAGAATGCATCCACATGGAAAGACACGAAGTAGATAGACATCATGGTAGGGACAAAACTGACCATGCATATACAGTTGACATGTTGCGTGATCTCCCGTCTGACCTGTGGGCGTCGCACTCTCATGATGTAGGTTTCTGCTTGAAAGCCACAGCAGTAACATTTGAGGTGAGCAGCTCTGTGCCTGTGAACCGGTCACAATACCCGATCAAGCCACAGGCAAAAGGGGGTGTTGACAAGGCAGTTGAGGGACTGAAGAGAGCAGGGGTGTTAGAACCCTCACAAAGCCTTTGGAATACTCCCATACTTCCTGTATCAAAATCTAGCGGGGAGTACAGAATGGCTCATGATTTGAGAACCATTAATGCTATTACGACTACAGCTCTGATACCAGTTCCTAACCCCTACACGGCTATCTGTAATGTCTCACCTGAACATACATGGTTCACCTGTATTGACCTAGCCAACGCTTTCTTCTGCATACCTCTGGCAGAGAGTATGAGACCTATTTTTTCTTTTACAATAGGAGGGGAGAAACTACAATACACAAGACTACCACAAGGCTTCAGTTTGTCTCCAGGAATATTCAACAAAGTGCTCAGGGAACAGCTAGAGGGCGTTACATTGCCAGTGGGGGTAGTATTAATACAGTTTGTAGACGACCTTCTCATCGCAGCACCTTCTGCAGCCTCTTGTTTGGAGGCCACCAGACACCTACTGGTGCACCTCCACACATCAGGGTTCAAAGTCTCCAAGAAAAAGCTACAATGCACCCGTAAAGAGGTGACATTTTTGGGCAGAGTGATTTCCCCAGCAGGCACGGGCATGTCAGCAGCGCATCAGGAACACATTTTGAACCACCCGAAACCCAAGACAGTCAAAGACATGTTGTCTTTTTTGGGCCTCACAGGCTACAGCAGACACTACATCCCAGAGTATAACCCAAGAACAGCTGAACTCAGAAAACTCATCAACGAGAAAGGCATGCGCAATCTCACTGCCACACTAGACTGGACACAAGCGGCAGAAGCTGCGTTCATTTCTCTCAAACAATCCATGTCCCAAGTCACGGCTCTCGCCGCTGCATCCTATGCATTACCATTCTTTCTTGATGTTTCTGAAAATGAAGACACAGTAAATGGGATTCTTTTTCAGAAAAAGGGGGGTTGTAGGACAATATTGATGTATGTCAGTGTTACACTGGACAGAGTGGAAAACAGAGAACCTCCCTGCATGAGACACGCGGCAGGTACAGCACGTATCTTAAACAAGATTTCACACATTGTGATGGGCCATCCTTTGACAGTACTGACAACACACAGCATTGTCTCTTTTGTGAACTCAAGTGCATTCACAATGACTTCAACGAGACAAACAAGGCTGGAGAAAACTCTGACAAAGGCACACATCACATACACACACGAAGGAGTTAACAGCGCAAACACCATAGGTAGCGGAGAGCCCCATAGGTGTGAGGAAAGAATCATTCAAGATGTGAAGCTAAGAATAGATCTCAGAGACGAGCCCATCCCACAGGCAGAAAACCTGTTCACAGACGGCTGTTGTTTTAGACCACCCCCAAAACGGCCTCCAAGCAGCCTATGCCGTGGTAAAACAAAAACCTGAGGGAAACTTTGAGGAAGTATCAGCTGGGGAAGTAACAGGGAAAGTATCAGCACAGTTGGCAGAAGTAATGGGAGTCATTGCAGCATTAGAGCTATCAAAAGGAAAGGATGTAAACATCTACACTGATTCAGCATATGTCCACGGCGTAATTCACGTGGAAATGCGACAATGGTTGAGAGCAGGATTTGTAACGTCCACAAATACCCCCATCAAACATGAGAAAGAGATCAAAAGGCTTGCAGAAGCAGTAATGTTGCCCAACAAGTTAGCTTTACTTAAGTGTAAAGGTCACAACGCAGAAAACAACTACTTGGCTTGGGGTAACAATGCAGCAGACAAAGCAGCTAAAGAGAAGGCAGGATATACACTATGGTATCAAATGCTTGTCTTAAAATCCGCTGACTTGCTGCCCGCAATAACAGATGAGACGCTTAAAGAAGCTCAAGAAGCGGGGTCTCCTCAAGACAAAAAACTATGGTCAAACAGGGGAGCTACCAACAAAGAGGGGATATGGTACTCCCCAGATGGGAGACCGGTTATACCCCCAGAGTGGATAAGATCCATGCTTAAAGAAGCACACGGCCCAACGCATTGTGGTAAAACTCAGATGAACAGGCACCTGACCCACTGGTGGCACCCATACCTACCAGACATGATAGCAAATCACCTAGAAGAGTGTGTAATTTGCTTAACCCATAACATCAGAGCCACTGTGAAACCACACCAGGGAAAGTTTCCCTTACCTAAGATGGCAGGAGAATAAATCATCATTGACTACACTGACATGATTGACAAAGTAAGAGGATTCAGATATTTGTTTAGTAGTAGTAGATGGATACACAGGTTGGCCAGAAGCTATCCCTTGCAGAAGAGAAGATGCAGACTCAGTGATCAAATTCCTAGTCACGCATTACATTCCATTACATGGATTTCCTAGGAAAGTGAGGTCAGACAATGGCAGCCATTTCAAGAATCATGACCTACGCACAGTAGAAGAGTCCCTAGGACTAAGACACAGTTTTGGAGCAGTTTATCATCCACAGTCTCAGGGAAAAGTGGAAAGGATGAACCAGAACTTAAAACAAAAACTCAGCAAAGCATGTGAAGAGACAGGCATGAAATGGTTAGACGCATTGCCTCTGGCTCTTATGTCAATCAGGAGCTCCATTAACAAAGGGACAGGTTTCTCTCCATTTGAGCTCACTTATGGTCACCAGTTCCCAGGTCCAGGAGCCCTAAGTGTAGGAAAGGAAGTAGAGGTTCTGAGTTCGAAACCATACTTCCAGCAACTTAAGGGATTAGTGGCAGATTTTTCCACCCAGGTTGCAGAGGCAAAAGGGGGACCCGAGAAACACGAAGCGAACACTGCGGAGTTCGTCTGGCTGAAAGCGATCAGACCCAAGTGGCTGAGACCCAGGTTCTCTGGACCCCATCGGGTGATGCAGAGGACATCTCACGCTGTCCGCTTGGAAGGGAAAGGAGACATCTGGTACCACTGGAATCAGTGCGCAGTGGGGAAACCTCCGGGAAGGACCCTAGACGACATCATCACGGACGTGGTCCGCGCAGAGGAGGAGGAACCAGAGGACAACACTCCTATCACCGACCCAGAAGTCGCCATAAGCGGGCGGGCTGAAGAGGACGTCGAGGAACGGCCCTGAGGGAACGAGGCAGAGCGGGGTGGATCAACGCTTCCAGATGGCGTCTGTCTCCTCCACCGGAGGCTGGCGTGTGAAAGCTGTCATCATCCTCCTCGTGCTGGGCCTGCTGTACCTGTCCAAGGTAGCCCCGCGTGATGAAGCTGTGACCATTCCAACGACAGGTGGCCCAGACTCTGAGGGCAAAATCACACCAACGGGCCAATCAGTGCCTAGCGACAAAGACAGGTTGTTTCCAATCACCACACTAACATTCAGTACAATGAGAGAGAGACACAGAGAGAGAAGAAGGAGGAATGCCCCTCTCTCTGCTCACGAACCACAGAAGGTTTCTTTTGACTGCCCAACTGCAATATGCAACTCACCAAACTGTGTTATTACAACACATCCTCACTCCCAGGTCGGCCTATGTTGACGTTATGTCAGTCCCCTGTCGGCTTTTTCCAACGCAAGGGGGGGGGGCCTTAGCGTCCATTTTCAACGCAAGGGGGGGGCCCTTAGCGTCCATTTTCAGCTTTCCGGGATGTCCATATGCTTCTATAGACGCTCATGGAAGCACGGCATTCGTTTGTGTCGGCTGCCCTTAAAGGCAATGTGAGCGTCCATTCTCATTGGATAACGGAGAATTGTACACCCGGAAGTAAGTATTCCGCTTACTGTCGATTGATTTTACAGTGATATCTGCACTACTCATCGACTAAAAAACACCAGATTATCCTTGTTAATTACACAACATTGATTGGTTTAAATTGTGTGCAATGCTTTTGTATTTTTCCCCCTTCGATTCGGAGAAACAAATATGTTTTCGGAGTAAAGGATGGCAGAAGACACTACACTACCCAGAATCCCCAGCTATCGTTTGGACTACACCATGTGCTCTGTTTGACGTCACGTGATCTTCAAATTTCTCCCTGAAGAAAAAAAAAACATGGCCGAACTTCGTTTTATTCTCGATGGAAAATGCCTATTTTAAAGTTAGTTTGGCCATTAAAATGTGTTTTGATGTCATTTGATGCGAGAAATATGAGTTGTTATTTCAGATTATGTGTGCAGTGGATGTACATGATCTTTAGTTTGCTAGTTATTACGAAGATTACTTCAGGAAATTGCGTCCATAAGGTTTTCATTGTTACCAAGGTGGTTGCTAGGGACGCTGCTATCGATATTATTTCTGTTATGTTGTTTAACTGTTTAATGGTGTTATCTTTATTGCTACCCCCTTCCCCGTCAATGTATAGTGTTGGTCCACAGCGAAAACATATTAGTTTAACAAAATCCGCATCTAAAGATAGCCTACGTTATTTTCCCCCTGTGCAATTCCAGTCTCACATCTCACAGCACATCGTCATGAACAAATAACGGAAACAGACCGAAAACATTGAAAAAAAATACAATAATACTTTATTCCGAGTGTGCTTGCTTTTCTCTTTGGAAGTCATCACATAACGGCATTGTAATACACGGTTCGGCTGCATTAAATATTACATATCTGCCGTAGTTCTGTATTTATAGAGCCCTGATGAGAAGACTTCTAGACAAACATGAGGAACTGAAAACGTGACGTGGATCATAAATATATCAGCCATTAAACAACATCTTACATTTATTTTCACACAATACGTCTCCTTGCAGTATCAACACTAATTCGGCTGACTTTTATATTTGATCCAATTGGTAGATAGGCTGTATTTACACCATAACGGTGCACAGCTGATATAAAGGGACACCTAGTGGTTAAAGCATGTTATTGAATTTCATTATTTTTATCATTAGATATTAATAGGATCCCTATAAAGTATATTAATTACTCGTTATTCTCTACTAATAGTTCATTAAAGACTGTATATAATGACTATTTTGCACATCCCTTTCAAGATTTCAAGATTTTCTAAGGTTTATTGACATATCATATAGGCCTACACAACTATGGTGTAGTTATGCATTGAATGAAAAACTTGGGTCGCAGTTTCCTCAATAGTGCATTACAAGACATCTATCAATATTTGTGCGTACCTCCAGCAATGTTAACTATGTTGAAGCACTTATTTTAACTGATATTATACATAATGTATTATACTCTTATAAGATGTATATAGATATTTCATCTCCGACCTTGTCAGGTATTGAACAATCAATAAATAAAGAACACAGAATTGTTGAATATAAAACACAGAATTTGTGTGATTATACTAAATTATTTACAAATAAACACCACTGCATATTTAACTGTTACACATGCTGATGTAACGCAAATGTTCCAACTTGAGATCAATAAAGTATATCTTATCTTAAGCTGATCGATGGCTATACTGCCATATTTGCAAATATGTGCCTCTGAACCTTAACAAGTGCATGTTTCAGGCTTATCAATTAATGTAATGTAATGTTATCAATTAACAACAGGGGTCACAAACATAAGACCAGCTGTTAAATAAAGCTCTTCTGACCTTAGCTGGCATGTGTGTATATATATATTAATGCTGCCCATTATGGGCACAAGCAATTTTCACCCATTTATTAATTATATGTTTTAAATGTGAGTGTTTCCTATCCCCTAAACCTCCAGGGATGTACACAGTTTAATACTGGCAACTTCTTATTATGGGAAATACGAAAACGTCTTTTAAAACTACAACTCCCAGTAGAGACGTGCCATAGATACAGAACATGTTGCGTAACAGAATAGCCAGCATTTGTAGTTCTGGGGACAGGGTGGGGGAGGGGGGACGCGGTGGACCCGTTCAAATCCAGTTTTGGACAGTCTGCGTGGTTCCATCCCATTTCAAGTGCTGTTCGAGGCTCAGCGTAACCCTCGGAGCACACTCTCCAATCACAGAGCTTGAGGACTATCACGGGGTTTGTCAAACAGAGCACATGGTGTAGTCCAAACGATAGCTGGGGATTCTGGGTAGTGTAGTGGCTATCTTTAGATGCGGATTTTGTTAAACTAATATGTTTTCGCTGTGGACCAACACTATACATTGACGGGGAAGGGGGTAGCAATAAAGATAACACCATTAAACAGTTAAACAACATAACAGAAATAATATCGATAGCAGCGTCCCTAGCAACCACCTTGGTAACAATGAAAACCTTATGGACGCAATTTCCTGAAGTAATCTTCGTAATAACTAGCAAACTAAAGATCATGTACATCCACTGCACACATAATCTGAAATAACAACTCATATTTCTCGCATCAAATGACATCAAAACACATTTTAATGGCCAAACTAACTTTAAAATAGGCATTTTCCATCGAGAATAAAACGAAGTTCGGCCATGTTTTTTTTTTTCTTCAGGGAGAAATTTGAAGATCACGTGACGTCAAACAGAGCACATGGTGTAGTCCAAACGATAGCTGGGGATTCTGGGTAGTGTAGTGTCTTCTGCCATCCTTTACTCCGAAAACATATTTGTTTCTCCGAATCGAAGGGGAAAAATACAAAAGCATTGCACACAATTTAAACCAATCAATGTTGTGTAATTAACAAGGATAATCTGGTGTTTTTTAGTCGATGAGTAGTGCAGATATCACTGTAAAATCAATCGACAGTAAGCGGAATACTTACTTCCGGGTGTACAATTCTCCGTTATCCAATGAGAATGGACGCTCACATTGCCTTTAAGGGCAGCCGACACAAACAAATGCCGTGCTTCCATGAGCGTCTATAGAAGCATATGGACATCCCGGAAAGCTGAAAATGGACGCTAAGGGCCCCCCCCCTTGCGTTGAAAATGGACGCTAAGGCCCCCCCCCCTTGCGTTGGAAAAAGCCGACAGGGAACTTGACATAACGTCAACATAGGCCGACCTGGGAGTGAGGATGTGTTGGTTATTACGTACCCTGTGTTTTTAAGCAAGGGTGACGACTACACGGTGTGGGAAGCGTATCCAGGGACGCAGTATCAGGAGTTCCGGGTCTCGTCAGGGATGGTAAGAATAACACTCAACACCATTGCAAATATGCCCCCAGAACTGTGGTGTAGCACGGCAGAACAGTTAAAATATGAGTCCCAGTGCACGGCACGGAAGCCAGATTACAAAGCTCCCAATTCGGGGGTCACTGGATGTGCATTTATTGAACCAGAGCATGAAACAGATTTTTCTAATTTAGGGGTCGCCGGACACGCCTCTATTAGAACATATATTGAACCATATCATGAAACAGGTTTTCCGGAAAAAGCCCTAATATCCACTCCACCTAAACAAACAGGAGAGGATGTAGATTCTTCAAAAAAGGCCTTAATCGCTCCACCTAAACTAACTAAAACCAATTCGGCAATGAGTTTAATGTTAGACTATGCACATGAACGCAATGTTAGCAACTGTTGGCTGTGCCAAAACATGCCAGAATCCGTACATTCTCCCATGTTTAGCCCAATTCCTTTCACGAAAGCTGACTACGGTTTAGTTAGCTGGAATGACATAGCATCCCTCATTGGAGATGAGGCCGAGGATTGTTACACTCCTTCGTATCCAATAAACTCTGAGAAACCTCTACAATACAAGGGTTTAATCTCGCTCATTGTTGAGACAGTAAATAAAGATTACCTGCCAGAGGGGTTCAAACAGTTGACGGTCCTAAGACTAATATATGTGAAGAAATATATTAACCTAGCTTTTGAATACAGATTCCAATTAGCTCTAGCCCAGACTAATTGCTCGGTTAACTTTACCAGTCCAATATGTACACTGCAACCACACACTCCATCTTTATTAGTTGAGGCTTTGGTAACAGTAGTGCCCTGGTTCGGCTCCAGAACAGTGGACTCAGTTGAGGTTAAAATACATGACTGTTCGCAGCCATTACCCTTAGGTAAGTCCCCTACCCGTGACTGTTCTGTCTATGTTCCCCCCAGTTGTAGTACATGAGTGGAAGAATGTGTCCATCTGTTTCCAGAATGAAAGAGGATCTCTTACCTCTCCAGATGTGGGCCACAGCGACTGTAATACCGTAATAAAGGTGCAGTTAGCCAGAACGCCCCTCCCGCAGAGGGTTTACTTAGTTTGTGGGGACCGAGCCTATGGCTGTATGCCTTATGACATTTTCTATGGCACCTGTTACCTGGCCTATCTAATCCCTTTAATCCGTAAAGTGAAGACTGATGAGATTGCAGCTATACTTCCCTCTCTACATAGAAACAGCAGGTCGATTACAGAAGGACAGCGGATGGCTAGTCTATTTTTACCATGGTACGGTATTTATGTTTCTCAGCAGGAAATTGTGGCGTTGTCCAAAGTAGTGGAAAATCACTTAAATGCATCTAACACAGCCATGTTAGCCGAACATAAAGAATTACAGGAGGTTAGGACTGTAGC